GTAACGGTGGAACATAAACGCGATCTTTTACGTATCTCCACAAGAAAAAAAATCTCACACATTGAGGTCTGGGGATCTCGAAGAGCGAGCACAAAGAGCAAGGTCTGGCTAAGTGCCTGAACGAGGCGTAGTCTGTAAGGTTTCAAGGGTAGACATCTTAGCATACGCCAGATAGTGAATTGAGAGATCGCAAGCTCACGGCTAGCTCTATCTGTGGACTTCCATGGACTCCACTCAAACACAACACGAATTCTTGCCACTTGTTCCTCCGAAACCCATGGTCGTCTTGGACTTTTTCCCTTACACAGACACCCACTTTCTTGAAACTGTTTTAACCACTGTCGAATGTTATTGGAAGAAGGCAGATTAATGTCGAATTGCCTTCTAATAGCCCTCAGCACCGTTGCAAGCGTATTTGGTTTTGGGTTCTCGAGAACGCAGAACGCCTTTTGCTGATAACTCGCCACTACAGCACCCTTGTGGCAACCATTCGAAACTACCCTTTCAAATGGTCACTGACTCATTCTATGATGATGCTTGAGAACTGAAGCAACACAACATGAAATCGGATCATTCTTTTTTAATAACCTTGCATATTGTTAGATTATTGCTGCCACATATGATCTGGTATTCCTGCTATATAGTTAGAGATTTTTGATAAAATTCAAAGAAGAAGCTACAATGTTATATATATAGGCACAATAAACGAAAAAATATAAACAGGTACAGAAAATATAAACAGGCAGAAAAAACAAAACAAAATATTAACAGGCAAAAAATAAACAAAAAAGGAACAGGCAGAAAAATAAACAAAAAAAACAATATATAAACAGGCAGAAAAATAGACAAAAAAGCAAAATTTAAACAGGCAGAAAAATAAAGAAAAAACAAAATATAAACAGGCAGAAAAATAAACAAAAAGGAAAATATAAAGAGGTAAAAAATTATAAATAGGATGAAAAAAACAAAATATAAACAGACAAAATAAAAACTTGCACTAAAAACAAAATAACGAAATATAAAGAGGCAAAAATATAAACAAGAAGAAAAAATAAACAAAATATCAAAAAGCAGAAAAAAAAAACATAATCAGGCAGAAAAAAACAAAAAAAAATATAATCCGGTAAAAAAAATATAAACTGAAAGAAAAAACGAAAACAAAATATAAACAGGAACAAAAAGAAAGAAAATATAAACAGGCAGAAAAAAATGTATAAACATGCAGAAAAATAAACAAAAAACAAAATATAAACAGGCAGAAAAATAAAAAATATAAACAGGCACAATAAACAAAAAATATAAACAGGTAAAAAAAATATAAACAGGCAGAAAAAACAAAACAAAATATAAGGAGGCAAAAAATAAACAAAATATAAATAGGCAAAAAAAAAACAAAAAACAAAATATAAACAAGCAGACAAAACAAAAAATATAAACAGGGAGAAAAGCATAAGCAAATTATAAACAGGCAGAAAATTAAAAAATATAAACAGGCAGAAAAATAAACAAAAAATAAAGAGGCAGAAAAAACAAAAAAGAAAATATAAACATGAAAATATATAAATAGGATAAAAAAAACAAAATATTAACAGCCAAAAAAATATGAACAGGCACAAAAAACAAAAAACGAAATATACAGGTAAATAATGTAAACAAGATGAAATAATAAACAAAATATAAAAAGCCAGAAAAATAAACTAAATATAGACAGGCACAAAAAACAAAAAATGAAATATAATCAGGTAAAAAAAATATGAATAGGAAGAAAAATAAACAAAATATAAACAGGCAGAAAAAAACAAAAGACGAAATATAATCCGGTAAAAAAATACAAACAGGAAAAAGAAACAAAATTTAAACAGGTAAAAAAATATAAACAAGCAGAAAAAACAAAACAAAATATAAACAGGCAGAAAAAAACAAAGTGAAATATAATCAGGTAAAAAAAATATAATCAGGATGAAAAAGACATAAAATTTAAACAAAAAAACAAAATATAAACAGCAAAAAAATATAAACAGGCAGAAAGTTACAAAACAATATATAAAATGCAGAAAAATAAAAAAAAACAAAATATAAACAGGCAGAAAAATAAACAAATAAGAAAATATAAACAGCCAGAAAAATAAACAAAAAAGAAAATATATACAGGCAGAAAAGTAAACAAAATATAAACAGCAAGTAAATTAAACAAAAAAGAAAATATAATAAGGCAGAAAAATAAACAAAAACAAAATATAAACAGGCAGAAAAATAAACAAAATATAAACAAGCACAAAAACAAAATATAAAACAGGCAGAAAAATAAACAAAAACAAAATATAAACATGCAAAAAATAAACAAAAAACAAAATATAAACAGGCAAATAAAATAAACAAAATATAAACAGGCACAAAAGACAAAAAATAAAATATAAACAGGGAAAAATTAAAAACAGGAGGGAAAAAAACACAAAATATAAAAAGGTAAAAAAATATAGACAAGAAGAAAAAATAAAATATAAACAGGCAAAAAATAAACAAAATATAAACAGGCAAAAAAACAAAAAACAAAATATAAATAGGTAAAAAAATATAAACATGAAGAAAAAGAAATATAATTTAAACAGTTAAAAAAATTATAAAGAGGAAGAAAAAACAAAACAAAATATAAACAGGCATAAAAATAAACAAAATATAAACAGTTAAAAAAATATAAACATGCATAAAAACATAATAATATATACACATGCAGAAAAATAAACAAAAAATAAAATATAAACACGCAGAAAAATAAACAAAAAAAAAGTTATAAACACGCAGAAATATAAACAAAATATAAACAGGCAGAAAAATAAACAAAATATAAACAGGCAGAAAAAACAAAATACAAAATATAATCATGTAAAGAAATATAAACAGGAAGAAAAAATTACAAAATATAAACAGGCAGAAAAATAAACAAAACACAAAATATAAACAGGCAAAAAATATAAACATGAAGAAAAAATTACAAAATATAAACAGGCAGAAAAATAAACATTAAACAAAATATAAACTGGCAAAAAAATAAACAAAATATAAACAGGCTCAAAAAACAAGAAACAAAATATAAACAGGTATAAAATAATTATTAACAAGAAGAAAAAAACAAAACAAAATATAAACAGGCAGAAAAAATACAAAAATAACTGACGAAGCAAAAGAACTGAAAACAAAAATTAAATTAGTCCGACGCGGAAAGAAAAGAAAGAAAAGTGGCAAAAACTGAAAAAGAAAAAAATGTAATCAGCAAAAATGAAAGCAACTTTGTCAAAACAGAAATAAACTTAACAAAGGAAAGTTCCAAAAACGGTCCTTGTGTGGTCTAATGTACGTCAAATAAAACCAAATCCGGACGCGAATAAAGAATAGGAATCGTGTTCAATTATACGCCACGCTAATTTCCATATATACATTTCCTGCTACATCACGTGATCTACTTATTCGCAATGGGATTGCCTGTGGTTGCTCTCTCTATGTTCAAACTCTAGTGTCGGCAACGATACTTTATTTCTATACGACACTTTGCAGCTGCCTTTTGAGTATGCACTCATCTAAAGATGTTATATGATGTTAATAACAGTTTCCGTGTTTAGAAATGAGGAATTTTAAGGTTAAAATTGAACTCTCTGTAATTTTCTTTAATTATAGATAACTAAATTTTGAAAAATATTCCTTATTTTTCTCTTCCTTTCCATTCCGTTTGGAATCTCTTCCTTCCGTACATGGTTCTTATATAGGATCATGGCTATAAGCGATTCAAAGTTGAGAATAAGAGTATAAATGATTAAATACAAAGTAGGTAGGTAGGTCGATCATAACAAGACCATCATATTTTGTATTATTATAATTATTACTTATTGAATTAACCTGCATTGTTTAATTAAGTGAGGACAAGTTTTCCCAACGTTGCACCACACTACTCAGTATTCTTGTGTTTTCAGTTGTGCTGTTGAATTGGTAATGATGACTTTTCCTGTAATTTCCAATTCCTTAAGCCTCTCCCACTATTAATTTTGTAATCATTACGAGTATTCCACAATTAATGGGTACTATATTTATGTGGAAATTATGATGAGATTTAGTGGAAAAGCTCTAGATGATTTTTACATTTAAAATTCAATTCCATGAAAAAAGAACAGAATTTTCAGAAATTTATCATTCAGAAACATAAAACAAGATTAAATGTCGATTGCAACAAGATTTATTTCTGCGTAATTTTCCTGTTTTTATCTTCCAACATGAATCATTCAAAATTTAAAGTTTTGTTTTAATATCTATGACAAATACTACGTATTGATAATTTTCATACTATGTAGGTATGTTTGTTTTTAATAGAGAGGTAGAAATAGAAAGACAGAGAAAGTGAGTGTGTGTGTGTGTAAGAGATAGATAGAGAGAGAGAGAGAGAGAGAGAGAGAAAGCAATAAAGTGAGAAAAACTGTTTTTAAGAAATCTAGATATCAGCGAATCGCAACATACTTGTAAAATATTGGGAATCTTTTGATACTTTTTAATTATTGTTTTGTTTTTCAGAATGGCACAGACAGGCACAGGCTCATCTGAAAGGCCAACGATAGAAATAGAATCAGAAAAAGACCCTGATGTGGAAAATGCCGGACAGATTCCTGATGGAGGTTGGGGTTGGGTCGTTTGCTTTGCCGGATTTATGATCAATTTTACTACCGTGGGAATGATTTCCTCAAATGGAATTCTTCTACTTGCAATGGTTGATATCTATAAAGTCACTATATCGAGAACAGCCATGATCGGTTCTGTCTTCATGGGATTAATGAATGGTGCAGGTAAATGATTAATTTTGAATATACTCAAGTACCTTTTTAAGCAAAAGCTTGTCCCTATTTTGAAATTCTTTTATTTAATAGGTCCGTTTGTGCTGCTTCTTATGATGTTTCATGCAAGCCATCGTCAAGTTATTATTTGTGGGGGAATTTGTTCTACCCTGTCAACTATTGCAGGCTTTTTTGTCAATAAAGTTGAAGTTCTTTATGTTACGTATGGCATTCTCACAGGTAAGAAGATATCGCACCTACTTTTTTTTTCATTTCTGCATGCTTTTTCACATCAACTGTAATTGGTTTCAATTAATATAATGAGATTATGTCTTCTCAATAATCCAGAGATTCTTTCAATAATCCAGCCTCATCCATTCAATATTCCAGAATATTTTATTCATGAAACCCATCTTGCATTGCCAATTTCAATTCAAATTCTAAAAGAATTTCTTAATTCTATAGTTTTTCTGTTTTTATGCAATTATTTTTTCTAGTTTATTTATTTTATTCTGCTTGAATTAATTTATTTTCAGCACGTCTCCGTCTTATAGTTCCCGTTTATATCAAAATTCGTGATTATTTCATGTTGCCTAGTTAAATTTCTTCTGTTGCTTATCGCTACTCTTTTTTTTTTAATTAGTAACATTGAAATGTTTTGATTCTGAATTACTGTATTTCCCTGTATACATTATGCCAATGACTTTTGCTTATAATCTATATCTTGATTCTCATATCTTCGGGTAAATCTGTCAAAATAATATTTTATTAATGGACTCATTAATGAATCGCATCTATTTTACGCATCTATACAAGTGGCATATAGTTGAAGAGCAAGTTTAACGGTTTAAATCAACAAAAACTGCGAATTGTTTAATGGGAAAAGAGTGGCAAACCTGGCTGCAAACATTTCCTTAAATCCTTTTGTTCATATTTGACACACATTCTTGTCAAAAAAGTAATCATGAAAATATTTCTTTTATGTACATATCTGCATAGATATGTAAATGCATCTGCATTAAATCTGAAATGTAGCTTTCCAATTCCACCTTTTACTCGGATATTACAAAAATAAGACCGAATTCTGTTTGAACCATCATGCAAGCCACAGGCAAACTCGGCTTATGATACTGAATTTAATCATTACTTCGTAAATTAAAGATCATTTCTTCAAAGTATATTCCTTAGTTCAAGTTTGTTCTTCCGTGTTACTTCATAAACGGACATTGTATATTTTTCGGTATCTCTTTTATAAAAAGATACCCTATTCATTGAATCTCTCGTTTTCTAATTTATTTCTTTTATTTTCATTACGTTTGTCATTCCTTCTTTCAGGTGCCTTCGTTGGTATGTCCTATTTTTCTGGCAACACCATCGTTGGATCTTATTTTAAAAAGAAACGCACTATTGCCATGGGAATCGCCAACAGTGGAGCAGGATTTGGTGCATTTGCCCTTAATTACTTAGTAGAACGAAGCATTTCCTTTTATGGTATAAGAGGAACATTTTTATTAATAAGTGGATTGTTTCTGAATTTTCTTGTATATGGCGCCTTATGTCGACCCCTCAAGAACTTCAACGTCAGTTTGAAAAATAAGAACGTAAATGGTAAGTGCACTCTCAAGAAAGACATTTATCAGAAATGAACAGAAAACGCATGAAACACACACACACACACACACACACACACACACACACACACACACACACGCAAACACTTATGTAATTGAACAGAAACATATAAAGATATCTGTCTTGGTATGCGCAGGATTTGTTACTATAACTCTTTATTTTGGTTTCTCAAAGAAACAGATCCACAATATCGACAGCTAAATTTGGGATTTCAGATTTAAATTGAAAATCAAACATTACGAGTTGATCAATTTGTTTTCTTTTCTTTTAAATCAAATGAATTCTTCTGTCTTTGCGATTAATAAAATATATGTAATTGATTTTTAATTATATTTTTCATGTGATTAAACATACAGATTGAGACATACGTATAAAACTTGTACATAATTCGTTCAAGGAAAGGTCATGACCCCAAGATTTTAATCCTAATCTAAATAAAACTAATGAATTGAAGGAAAATATACTTCCCTTTCCTTTTCATTCATGAAACGTTCAAATTTCTCGTTTCAATTCAGTTAGTTTGCAATTTCATTGCAAACAGGGAAAACACAGTCAAACATTGCCAGAAGGCAAGACTAAAGACGTATTTATTTTGCTATAATTTATATGAATTCTGCATTTTTAACGGAAGTAATCATTCTTTGTGTTAATCCATAACGGAAATAACGTCGTAAAGCGCATGCGTAATCAGAAATGATCAGCCATGAATTTTTTCCCCATCGTTCGAAATGAATTTACATTTTTTTTAATCATTTCTCCGCAAGCAAGGCGATAAAGCCACTAAGATTGAAGGTTAAACTAAGTGTAAAAGAAACTTACAAAACTTTATTGAATAGAAAAGACAATAAAAAAAAAAACAGGTTTCGTGGAGACAAGACGATGATTGACGTTGCATTAAAATTTTCAAAATCATAGCAGGAAACCGAGAAGGCGGAAGAATCTTCTACAATTGAGAAGTACGAGGAAATAATCTTACGTTTACATGGAGCAATTAAAAGATTGATATTATGAGGCCCAGTAGCCAATCTAGTACTACACTTAAATTCATGAAGTGGATGTACTAAAGACGAAAGCTCATCAGGACAATTACCATGAAAATATTTATAGAAAATACACAAGAAAGATACGCTACAGCCGTAGAAATGTAACTGAAACCGGTCAACTGATACAAGGAAAGGTCCAATAATATTGCAGATTCTTCTCTGGATTTTGTCATGAATTTCTATATATATAGCAGAAGCACCAGACCAGATATGGCATCATCCATACAATTCAGTCATTATTACATCTTCGATAATCGACGAGCAGATCATTATAATTGTGGTTTGTCCGATGCACACTAGGTGATCCTCACTTGTAGGCAATCTTTTAGCTTGTTATCTATTTTTTAATGTCATATATATTCTGTACGTAAGCGATTATGGTCCTCCACAGACTTCTTTTCTTTATTATATGTAAATCGCCAGGCATTTTTTGGAAATATATTTCATTAGTGAGAACTTTAGAATAATACTTCTCTTAGACTTGTCACCACTCAAAAGCTAATGTGACCCTGATATTTAATCCATAGTTGGGAGAAGGAAGATGGACTCATGACTTTCTCAAGGGAATTTCTGCGAATGTGGATTCAACTGACCAGACCGGAAATTGAACTCGGCTTAACGATTTCACTACACGATTCACACATCCGTTCTAATATCAGTAAATACAAATAAGGTTAACAGGCGCGTCTCGATGATCATTCGGTCTGTTCGACTCTCACTCGGGTCATTAATTTTGTAACAATGTCTCACTTATTTACAGTCTTCCTTCTGGAGGCGCTTTAAATAAAACGTGGAAAGGAACAAATTTAATGTATTTAAATGAAGTGCATAATGATAAAAGAAATTCTAAGGTTATACCCATTATATTCTGAAGTTAAGCAGAATAAACATCGAAATATTAACAAAACACGGAAAAGTATTTCTTATGAAACACATTTTGAGTGGCCAGAAGCATATTTTAGGAGCTAATAACACACACACTCACAAATACATACTTACATACATATATATATATATATATATATATATATATATATATATATATATATATATATATATATATATATATATATATATAATTATAAAAGTGGAAGCGGGCAAATATAAGCCGGCGTGTGCATACACGCGCATACGCAGGCATGCAAACAAAATAATCGATAAATGTATCTCTCTCATTCCAGAAGTTGTATTGAAATCTGTGAAAATGCTCCAAACAGAAACGAACTTAGGATTCATAAGCCAGACGAAAAGACACGTGAAAATCAAATAAAACCAACGTAAATATTTATGTTTTCTTTCTTCTTGTAGTCATCCTTAGACATTGTATAAATATTTTTGTGAAAAATAGACTCATTGTTTTAAAATGATTTTATATAGCTAAAGAAATTATTTCAGGAATAGGATTTGAACTAAGGTATTAAAGAAACCAATGACTTAACTTTACATTCATTTTCTCTTGATATTCTTGGGCAAATATATATATGTTTTAATTATATATTTAAGTATTTAATAAATTACTTAACTTTAGCATAGTATAGATTTACCGCAGCCTTAATATATTTTTTTATTTAAATAACATAACTACAAGAATTATTTTCGCGTCTCTAGAAATAAAAAAAATGTTAAATGTCAATCACAAAGAATTATGTTAAACAAGGAAATATTTTGTTATGTTGTTTTTTGTTGCAATTGCCAAATATCGTAGTTATAAGGATCAGATTGCCATATTCAACCAATAAAATGATTTGATGAATTATTTAACTTTCTTTTAATGCTATCAGCTACCAATGCAAAAGGAAATGTTTCCTCTGTTATTGATCAGTAATTTTCATGGTAATTTACTTTGTTTAAAGTGCTTTAAGTAGATACCTGGTTTTAACTTGATATAAGTAATTTTTATTTCCTTCCACTTACCCATTTTCTTGAGGTAAATTTATTGCATATGAATATCTTACTTTAGATGAGCAAGGAAAATTTTAATTTTTGTTGTAAATTTGAAGAATTAGTTATTCTTAATTTTCATTTTATTTTTATTTTTTTTAATGTAAACAAATTATTTTAAATTTGCATGATCTCTATAGTTGTATTTTATCAATTTAACATTTTTTTCAATTGACTACTCATTTCTTTACTGAAAATTACAAATTTATTTTGAAATGCAATCCTGGTGGTGAGGGATTCTTGAGTGATTTATAATCAGTTAATTTCAGGATATTTTATATTTCAGTGAAAAAGTAAACCACAATGAATATTTTTAGCTCTACCTGTAAATAAGTTTTTATCTAAAACATACCAGAAGTAGAGAAGTATATTCTGAACTGAAATTCCCTAAATTTTCCTATGTATATAATCTGGTATTTCTTCTTTGACAATTGAAATTTATTTACTCATTTACATATGAAGTCATTTCAGTGTTTATGTATTGGTATAAAAACGTAGCCTCTTCAGTGTTCAACATATTGTCAAGAGTTAAAGATATATTAGAGGTACAAAAATACAACCTTGACATATGGGGAGTTTTGTATTAGTATTCAGTAAATCACTCTAAATTGCATATGCCATTCTCAAACAAATAAATTGAAATAAACAGAGGGCAGCATATAATGTTTTATGTATCATCCAATTCAGAGGGGTCTGTAATTTTTCTCTCTTATTTTAGTTTTCCTCAGACATCTTATACAATTCTTGATTGAAATATTCACTGGAAAATTTCAAAAACATGTTTCAATCAAATGTGATTTTATATCAATAAAAATAATTTCAGAAATAATATTTGAGCGAGACGAAAAGACGCCCGAAAATCAGTAAGAGACCAATCTATATATCAATGACACTTCATTTTGCATTCGACTCTCCGAAAAACCTATATTAATTAAATAAAAAATGAATACATAATATTGCTTTAGTGATTATTAATATGGATGACTTGCTTAAAAGAAATATTGAGCTATATCAATCCGCAGAGCATTATTAATGTCGACATATCCGTATAGCAAGGAATTATGATGAATAAACATGAGTAGTCAGCGGAAGAAAGAATTCGATATTTATGCTCAGAAAGTTAACCGGAAAACCAATAAAATTAACAAGGATATGCAGGTATATGTTATACATTATTAATGGAAAAATGACTCAAATTTTTAAAAGGTGATTTTATATTTATAAAACACTATTCCAGAAATAATTTTGTTTTGGTTTGTTTTACGGCATATCAACCTCAATGCCAACAAGATTCTTACAATAGATTTGTGTGAATAGAATATGTATTTTGTGTAAGATATCACTTTGTAGATCAGCTTTCATTCACGTATTTTTGTAAATTAGAAATAGAATTTGAGCCAGACGAAAAGATGTCTGAAAATAAAGGGACCAATATAAATATTAATTTTCGTTCATTTTTTTTTCCTTGATATTTTTGTACAAATATTGGTTGAAAAATAGATTCAAGTTCATAAAAAATACATTAAATAAAACTAATAAATAATATAATAAATTATGTTGCTTCAGTGATTATCACTACAGATCGACTTTCTTAAGTGCAATTGTGCGTAACATCAGTTCGCATTATTAATCTCGATATAACCAAAAAGGAAGGCTGAATAAATGTGAGTAAAGACACCGGACAAGGAATACAATATTTATGTTCAGAAAAATAATGAAGACCATTACAAA